ACCGTATGTGTAGTATCTTTCTATTTTAAATTTAACTTGTGAATTCTTACCGACAATTTCATTTCTATTCTACAAAAGTGTGTTATATAGATAATTTTTCATAATTTTACTCTGAAAGATTAATTCTGAATTCTTAGTTGCCTTCAATTTACTCTTCGAATAATCGCAAATATATTGGTATTTACAATGCATGCTGGGTCAGTATGGGCCATTCTTGCTGTTAGTCAAATCACGACAAAAACTACTTTTATACAGCGAGTATGCTAATTCCTGAAAGCTTTAGAATCTAAAACTGAAAGTCAAATTCAGTTATATTTAGTATGCAAACGTAATCTTGCATTTATTTGTTTTAATTATTTTCACATGTTTTTTAAATCTAATTTTGTAAGAATTAATTTTTTTCAATACAAATATTTTTACATTTTTATTTTTTGTTATCAATGCATTTGTTATATTTTATTTTGCCATATTTTTCTTTACAAATTTATTGAAAATAGTCGACAAAATACTGTAACTTTTTATGAATTTACAGAATGCAGTATCAATTACGGTCTCATTCATCACTTTAACATTTCCAAACTTTTTCGATCTCATAAGTAAAATAGAACGTTATCATCCACGAACAACACTACGCTTGCAGCTTGGAAGGTAATGTTTTTATATAAAAATTGTTACTATTCACTAATTTGATTAATTAGATTTAAGAATTTTTGCTGCATGACAAAGACTTTCTACTTGTTTGTGGTTTAAGTTTAAAACTCAAATATTCTTCTTCTCATGTCTTTGCACTACAAAATAAAAAAGCATTAAGCAGTGTTATAAACAAATAAAAGTTAGCAAAAATACAATAACAATAATAATGCTATTTAAATAGTTTAGAATTTAGCGTAGCTCTATAAGACTAGAATCTTGGCTATGCAGAAGAAAATTTGCTACTTGATTCTTTTTCTTCATGGCAGAGATCCAGTCTCATAGAGCTAGGCTAGTTTGATACCAGTTATACCTTTTTTATATCTATGCGAGAACGATGCCACATTGAAGTAGATGACAGTCTTAGTATTTGCTATATTAATTATAAATAATGATATTGGAAGTTTGACAACTATCTTTAATTATTATCTCAATAAAAATTTTGTAACTTCAAAATTAATTTAGCGCTATTTTTTAAGTGTGAATTGTTTAATTTCAGAGTATTATTTCTCTATATCTTAAATTACTATACACTTATTATTTCGCTGATGTTTATGTTGAATACAATGGAAAGCCAGCGAAGTGGTGGTGAACAACTAATTCCAGTAACTCAGTATTCTGATCATCACCGTTGGGAACCGTTCTTCAACAGCTCTTACTATGAAATTGTTAAACAGCGGTTTGTTTGAATAATTTTAAAAACTTGCTATTAATTTCAATAATAATGGCAAGAATCTCTGAATTTAAATTCCTAATTTAACACATATTACTTATGTGATAATTATCATCGTTCATAGATCTTTAGAATTTGAGCAGTATTATCACTGATTTTCTGTTAGGTGATCAATCAATAATAATCAATGATTTAAATTATTGAAATAGTCTACATCACAATTTTTGCTTGGAGGTTTAATTCTTATGCCAATTGAAATGCAAAAATTGATAAATAATTACATTAATAACTTTTTTCATTTTTCAGCGCAGTAAGCATAAATTTAATAGCCAAATGATCAAATATCAGATTAAAAGCCAAAAATTATTTTGTCCGACGATTTTTTTGAATTAATGCCTTTAATATTAAAACATGTGTCGTCAGGTCTGGTCGACAAGTTGTGTTCGATTTTCCATCGATGGCTTCATCGCTTTTCAATCGCAATAAATCGAATGACATTCCAACAACGCCAATTCCTGATAAGCCCTGGACAACTGTTAGTGAGAATAGAACAATAAAATAAATTATACCTACGCAAATTAATCTCACCATTTATAATTATTATTTAATTTTATGTAATTAATTGTTTATTTTAATTATTGCTGCTTTCAAATAAGTCACAAACAATTAAATTTCAGAATATTTCTGAACAATTAAACACCAAATTATCGTAATTATTTGAACACAGTGCTGAAATTAATAGACAATGATTTCATACAGTATTCTGAAATTAATAGATAATGGTCTAATATAATATTATGGTCACTGCTCGTAAAGTAAAAAATGTAATGTTATAATTAATTTTTGAAAATATAGCTTCAATCTATTTTATACATTTTGAAAGCTATAATAACGTTATAATTTCAGGTATTTTCAAATTTTGGTCCATTTGGGATAACAAATCCGAAGGCAGTTGTGACGGAAAACCGTCGTCATGCGTTAAACACCAGCACGTTTATGGCGTATCCAATCGGTCGTACAGACTGGACTAAAAATATATCTGCTAAGCCAACTCTTTTAAATTACTCAACTACAGTACGAGCTATATCATCAGCACGTTTATCTACTGATTGGTATGAAGAATGTTGGGAAAATCTGATTGGAGAAGTCTGTTTTTTTTGCTTCAAAACTTAATTCATTATTATTTCTGTTACAATTATCATTTACTTATTATGATTAACAAATTAGTCCTAATAATGACGGAGTTTTTGAAAATTATTGATTAAAAAGTAATTATATTAGTTTATTATTTTTATTACCAAAAATCCATAATTATCAACAAAAGTAAAAAATCGCTGTAATGGTAAATTATGTCTTTGTTGCCAAGACAAGAAAAAACAATTGTGTAGTGAGTTTTTGTTTTCATTATATAATGATAATGACTTCATTTAAATTTACATCTATTATTATTATTATTATTATTATTATTATCATTATTATTATTATTATTATTGTTATTATTATTATTATCGTTATTATTATTATTGTCATTGTCATTGTTAATGCTAAAAAATATTGGAAACATTTACATACAGTGACAGAAATAAAAATGAAATTATTTCATAAAAGTGAAGAAAGTTAAGGAAATAACCAAATTAGTAACGACTGATTTGGTGATGACAGTTGCTTCGATTTTGGTGATTGACTTTGTTAGAGCTTTATGGGTTCGATATACCAATCTTTGGTGGTTCTGGAATTTGGAAACTACTTTTGTACGTTTTTGTTGTTTTTTGCTCGTTAAATTATAAAAAATAAAGGTGAAAAATGAAACTTAAATGAGTCAGTTTAAAAGTCACTTACAGTAAATAGATCACTAAAAATCTGACATAGTTATAAATCTAATTTTCAGAGTGCTGCAAGCATTATTATAGTTATGCTTAAAGCAAGGATTTTTAGAGTATCAGTGGAATTAGATAATGATTGGATATATTAATTAAAACTGATTTATATTTTTAATAAGCTAATTTTGCTTTTAAGACTTAAGCGATCATATAAAGAATAATAGTGCTTGTCCATCTGCATAAGTTACATTTTTTTTTGTAGAGATATAAAACTTGAAGCCAAAGACAACTTTGCATAAAGTACGAGATTGAACTCGATTTCCGATACAGTGACTGTGATTTTTTTCAAAATTCTGCCTTTATTCGTAGGAAATTAATTAAGTATTAGTCAGGTATATGAGATAAAAGTATGCATTATTACAGCCAGAATATGGAGAATTTAAAGTTGCTGAAAATGTGCTGCATCTGGTGAATAATCAAGGAATGATATGGTTAGGACTATTTTTTGTCCCAATGTTGCCCGCAATCAACAATATTAAATTGATTATTCTCATGTATATCCGAGGCTGGGCCGTAATGACCTGTAATGTTCCGGCACGTCAGATTTTTCGAGCTTCAAGGTTTATTACAGTTTAAGTGTATTTCTTTGCTGCTCCATTTTTTTGAAAATTCATCGCTCTAGTTTTTATAAGCTAGAAGTATGCCGTAATAAACTAAAAAATCTTATCAAAATTTTAACTCAAACTGATTGCTAATTAATGATGCATTTGGAGTTTTTTGATATAAAATTTGACTTTGTTTTTTTCAAGTGACATTTCAACTTTTTTATCGCATATTTTCAAAAATTCCCTGACGAAGGACACAAAATTGCTGTTACTCCAATGCATGGCTAATTAATAAACTTGAGAAAACTTTTTTTGAATCAAAATTTGCATATCATTTAGCAATCAACCTTTTGAACTTAAGACTAGTTTGATTTGAAAAGTGTGTGTTTAATTCATATCGTTTGTTCTGGATTTTGATCTAAAGATGACCTATTTTAATTAAAAGTAAATATTTCGATTTCTACTTGACTTTTTTGTTTGTATTTTCAGATCAAGCAACTTTTACTTAATGTTATTGCTGCTCATGCTTTTTCTATGCACCCTTCCAGTAGGCTATGTGATTGCTTCTAAAAAACCCTCGAAAATATGCGGTCCATTTGGGTTTGTTATATTTTTTCATAATTTATATGCGATAAATAATAATAATTTGGCAAAAATTCTCAGCTAAAAGTCAATTTTTATTTTTCATACTAA